AACATTAATGAATGGTATTTTATTATTTTTAAACCAATTGTAACAGCAGAAAAACACGGTTCTCTGTGTAAATTACCATAAAATTAAAGTTATGGCAGTGTCCATCCATCCATTATCTTTTACCCGTTTCTTCCATTTGGTGTCACAGAGGTCGATGTCCAGTAATCACTGTGCGGGGGGCGGGGTACACCCTGGACAGGTCTCCAGTCCATCACAGGGACACATAGAAACAAATGTGACAAACAACCATTCACTCTCTCACTCACCTAGAGACAATTTAGAGTTACCAATCAGCCTAACATGCATGATTTTGGTCTGTGGGAGGAAAACGGAGTACCCAGAGAAAACCCACGCATGCACGGAGAGAACATGCAAACTCCACCCAGAAAGGCCCCTGGACCAGTGTTTGAACCAAGGACCTGCTCGCTGAGAGGCAGCAGCTCTGCCGGTTGCGCCACCGTGCTGCCCCTTTATACATGCTCACATCATGTAAATGTTTCCAAGTTTTAATGAAAAGCTAAACTTCACAAGAAAATATTTATTGCATTATCTGTGATGACAAAACTAGAACTACTTGATCCTGATACAATTAGTTGTGCAACTGTAACTCATATGAGGAATGTCATTTTTAACATTAGATAAAACTGTGTCAGGATTCATGTTTGTCAAAATTATTATTCACAAAAACACTTATAAGGACAACAGAAAGAATGCCTCTGGTATCAGTCTGCAAACTTTGTAAACAAACCTGGAATCTCATCTGATTTAACATTTATTTTCCTAACAGAGCACTTTGCTCTCAGACTGCAGGTTTACTTGTGGTTCCTAGAATTTACAAAAACAGAATAGGAGACAGAGCTTTCAGTTATCAGGCTCCTCTCTTGTGGAACCAACTTCCAATCTCTGTCCGTGAGGCTGACACATTATCCAGTTTTAAAACTAGGCTTAAGACTTTCCTTTTTGCTAAATCCTATAGTTACAGTCGGCTTGGGTTTCCTGAGCTGTCCCTTAGTTATGCTGCTATAGGCTTAGACTGCTGGAGGACCAACTGACCACACTTTTCACTCTGCTACTGTCTTTGCTTACTCTGCTCAACCTGTTTTGTATTTGTAATTATTTTTTCTATCCTTAACATGTGTTTTTTTTTGTCTTTCAGGTACACCTGGACCTATATGTGGATCTACCATTCTGTGTTCATCTGTCTCTCCTTTCTGTCCTCTCAAACCAGCCGGTCAAAGCAGATGGCTGCTTGTCCTGAGCCTGGTTCTGCTGGAGGTTTCTTCCTTTAAAAAGGGAGTTTCTCCTTTCCACTGTTGCCACTGTGCTTGCTCAGGATGGGAGACTGCAACGAAGCCAAGGTTCAACTTGTCTGCTGGATTCCTTAGATAGAGAACTTTACTAACTGGCTTTTATGTATGTGAATGTTTCTGTAAAGTGCCCTGAGACAACTTTGTTGTGATTTGGTGCTATATAAATAAACTGAATTGAATTGAATTTATTGAACTTCCATCCATCCATCCATTATCTTTTACCTGCTTCTTCCATTTTGGGTCACGGGGGTCGCCGGTGCCCATGTACAGCAATCACTGTGCGAAGGGCGGGGTACACCCTGGACAGGTCTGCAGTCCATCACAGGGTCACATGGAGACAAACGAGACAAACAACCATTCACTCTCTCACTCAGACCTAGGGACAATTTAGAGTTACCAATCAGTCTAACATGCATGTTTTTGGTCTGTGGAAGGAAACTGGAGTGCGTGGAGAAAACCCACGCATGCACGGAGAGAACATGCAAACTCCACCCAGAAAGGCCCTGGGCTGGGATTTGAACCGGCGACCATCTCGCTGTGAGGCAGCAGATCTACCAACAGAGGCACCGTGTAGCCTTTTTTTCAACATTATTTACACAAACTATCTGAAAGGTTCTGTTCATTAAAACACAAGGTTTGGCTTAGCAATTGAAAAACAAAAATATCTTTAGATGTAAGTTGATCCATCGTAAAAGCTACAGATTGACTTCCCCATACGTAAATAAAATGATAGTCTTTACCATGCAGACTCCCTGGAGGTAGACACCTGAACTAATGCACGGATCGGTAAATAAATGTGAGACCTGCTCAGCTTGGGCATCATTGCTCAGATATAAGGCATCCTTGTGACAGTAACAGAAAGCTGTGCAGCCTGATTAATGCCCAAGTGTCATTTTGATGAAGTTGATGGAGTATATCTGGCAGTCAGGGTTGGGTCTGACGTACAAACAGGCTGAGACAGTTCTCACAAACAGCTGCTCCACAGCAGCGCACACTTTGAAAAGACGAGATCAAGAAGGCTGTATGTTGACGGGGCAGCTGTCAGGGTCACATAAAGAAAAATCTGAATTACTTTGATGCTTGTTGTTTGCTCACTAATGCAAGGAATACACAGGTAGCTACAGCTGCAGGAAAGTGTGGTGATAAGATTTTTCTTTAAGATGCACCGAGTAAAATTCTGCACAGAAAATGCAGATGTTCAACTAAAGAACAGTCAGCTTTTAGTGCCTGAAGTCCAATAACAAAATGAGCTGTTTATTGAGGAGTGCAGGATGGTTTTCATTTTTTAAAACAGGGTGGGGGTGGGGGGGCTTTTAAAAAGCAATCAAGAAAAACACTCTGAATAAAAGAGGAGGGTGGGAATAATTAATTGCATGGTGTTTGACTTCTAAGTGCAACACGGTTGAAAACCTCTGATCACTCACTTGTGATTAATATTGAATTACCCTTCGGAGCACATTTTTATATTAACATCCCATGTTGTGTTTCAACCATTTTCCTATATGTTTACTGTATGGTCGTGGAATTTTGTGACTGAAATCAAAGGTATATGCAGTCAAAGGTTTACATCCACTCACCATGTGAATTAAAATCCTAATTATATTACATTTTTAATCATTTATTTGAACTTGTGTTTTCCCTGCATAACGCTGGGTGGATATTGGTATACTCTTCTTGATTGAATTGGTAAAGGTTTGGGAAAGTTCATTTTAATTGGTTGGGTTTCTGGCCTGGTCTGAGCATTGTTCACTAGCAGTTTAGGGAAGGTCATCACAGAAGCTTAATCTCAGCCTGCTTTGTTTATATTGGGACCCAGCTGTGTCCATGTTTCAAACATGTTGCTGGTGATTTGAGGTGAAGTTAAATAATTTGAAAGTAGTTGTTGTTCTTTATTATTCTATTTGTTTAGCTCAGTTCACTGGTGCCACAACATGATGCTACCTCTGCCATGCTTGACACTTGATAGAGTGTTCTTAGATTTGAAAGCCTCATTCATCCAAACATTCTCATCACTGTAGTCAAATAAATCAATTTTGTCCTGTCAGATCATAAAAAGTTTTCTCCAGTAAGTATTTGGCTCCTCCATAAGAACAGCTGTAAATTTCAGTCAAACCTGAAGATGTTAATTTGGAGCAGGATATAATTTATTCAGTTCCTGTGGATGTAAATGTTGCTTTTCTGTGGACAGTGAGTTTCAAGCAGCTTTCAGCTCATGTAGGTTTGAGCATTGGTGGTCCTGAACATCCCAACCAATAGTGTCTCCTTCTTATGTCTTCACTGAGCTTCTTGGACTTTCTCAGTGTTCTGAGTATTGGTCAAACTTTTTTTTATGACAGCAAACAAAAGTACGGTAACACTTTACAATAAGGTACACAAAATTTGATTAACTACTAGGGAGCGTCTCAAGAACAAATCAGGAGCTAATGAGTAGTTAGCCAGTACTCACTGGGGAACACACAGAATCAGAATAAGCTTTATTATCATTGTACCGGGATACAGTGACATTATGTTCATACAGTCGTCCGAAAGATGGGCAGAGTGCACGTAGCTGCTGCTACAAGAGCATGGCCTCTTATTCTTTATTAGAATACTTTTTAAGATAGAAAAAGGTAAAAGGCCATGAGGATGGATAGTGGTAGTCCCCTAATAAGGCTTGGTTGTATGTTCCCCAGTAAGTACTGGGTAACTACTCATTAGCTGCTAATTCGTTCCAGAGGCGTTCTCTAGTAGTTAATCAAATGTTGTGTATCTTATTGTAAAGTGTTACTGAAAGTACCACCTGGAGTCCATCATGATTATTAATAAGTAGTTAACGGGCTCTGTCCTTGTCAAGTTAATACATTCCAGAATTTTAAACATCACTTCATAACAGATTTAAGTGATGATATGTCTGTATTTGAGCCTGTACGTACAATTCTGGAAAATTCTTGAGAAAAATACAATAAATTCAAACTTGTATACCGAGTTCTTGTTTTTTCAAATAATTGAAGCTATATAATGTACAATATCTCATCCTGAGAAAAGAATGGTTTAAAAATTATCACTAAAATCCAAAAGGGACTTGAGTGTCCATGATGAATGTATGTAAACCTCTGATGACAGCTGTGTGGAGTGATTTTTAGAAGCATCCAGAATGAACAGCAGAAAACACTTTTATTCTGAAAGCAACAATGTTGTGCAGTTTGTGTTAATTTAGAGATGATCACTTTGTGGAAAATAAATCTAAATTGTTTGCACTGGCATATCCAAAGCATCTTTTAAGATTTAATATAAAACCTTCCAAGAATTTAAAACTGGCACAGATCAACTTCTCATTGTTTGACTGAAAGAATGAACAAAGTTCATGTCCACCCAGCTCTGTGAAGTTCTCAGATGTTTCACCTTCTTATGTCAGTGTCACATGTTTTTGTAATTGCACTTCAGTCACAGCAGAGTTACAGGGTTACCTTGAGCTCGAGAACAAGCAGTCAGAGCGCCATGACTGATCTGCAGATTCTCCAGAGTAAAAATAAACATTGATTTATCACTGCCTATCCCAGAGAGGCACAATTTCTTCTTTTGACCTAATTTGATACAACTCATCCACATAAAACCAAATAGAAATTTCACACAAAGTATTGCATGTTCGATCCTGTAGGCACTGAAGCTTTATCTAAAAGTCTGGGTTTGTTACTGGGAGCCGTGCTGTACCTTCACAGTAGGCGTTATCATCTCGCAGTGGGTGGAAGCCATCCTTACAAACACAGCAGTCTCCTGCCTCCAGGTTCACGCAGTCGGAGTGCTCCACACAGCCGTGGCCCTCCGAGCAGAAGTCATGACCTGCAGGAGGCACGGGGAGGAAAAGGTTGACTCACAGAAGAGAGAGGAGGCAAGTAGTGGAAAGGTTACAGCATCGTCTCAACCTTTTTTCACAACACTTTCTCTGTGGACTCGCTCAAAGCTAAAAATGGGCAAAATAACCTTTTTTTTCCCTCTTTTAACTTTTACAAATATGTTTTAGATTTAAATTATGTATAAGTGCAGTGGAGTAAAATGAAAAATATTTGAATTAATAATTACAATTATCCCAATAATATAAAAATTGAACAAATAAGTGCATGCACACTTGCAAGTTTTTAACAATAATAAGGTACAGTAATCCCTCGTTTATCACCGGGGATCCATGCCCTGAAGACCGGCAATAGGTGAAAAACCGCTAAGTAGAAATACAAAGTAGTAGTACAAGTAGTAAGTAGTAGTTTATTTTAGCATTTTATATATAAATATATATATATATATATATATATATATATATATATATATATATATGAAGGCGTTTTAAACCCTTCCCACACTCTTGCAATGTTTTATGTTTCTAAATTCTGAAGCTCTAAAAGATCCGCTCTGCACAGAGAACAGCTGGTCAGCTGCAGCAGGAAGTTCATCCTGCAGCATCAAGGGCTGCACAAAGCTGTAGGAGGTGCTAAATAATTTAAAACAATTAATTTTAAATAAAAATTCCATGCAGATCATGCGGCTCATCAATCAATCAGCCAATAGTGTGTCATACCCAATCTTATTTTGAAAAACCGCAATAGAATAAGTCAGCGATAAACGAACCATGAAGTAGCGAGGGACTACTGTATTGTATTTTCCTGAATGTACCATGAACTGTTACACCTTTTCTTCACATACATCTGTAATCGGGACTTTAAAATGAAGGTTTCCCATCATAACTGTTCTTCAGAGAGTTGTTAAAGAGGATAGTGTGAAGACTACCTCTGCAGACTTTACAACATCTGCTGCTCAAAGCGATCTGCTCCGACTCAGGGCAGTTGAGTTCAGGACAAGGCTCACTCTGGACCACTCGATGCATGCTCCTGTCCTGTGAAGAACAGACCAAAGTCCCACTTTCATTTTCTCTCCATCTGAGCATAATTATCTAGGTAATTGTTTAACTTTTCACATTCATTTAAAATGGGGACGCATCCCCTAATTGACTAGGTTCAACAGCTTTCGATGAACTCTACAGAGCTAGAAAAGGTTGCAGAAAACGTTGGATGTAACTTGGACCCTGTGTACATAATTTTGTTCCACCACATGTGGAACGACAATAAAGAATCTCTGACTCTGACTCATATGTTTCTCTCTTGTCCCACTCTCCCAGTTCCCCGTATGTTCATTATAAACCAATGTAAGACTGGTTATTCACTTTTATCTATTCCAAATTAGTCCTGGAGTAGAAAAACGTCTTTCTTCTTCTCATTGTTTAGTATCCTAAGCAGGTTACAAGATGATTCATGGTGTGTCTTCATTACAAGCAGCAGACAGTGATACAAACCTTTACAAAGTCCCTGCCTGTGTGTTTAGTTTGTGTGAAATGATTAGGGACTTCCTTTTCCCGTCATGCCGGTGGCAAGCCTCTCTAATGATCTCATCTATGTACCTTCAACTTCTGCTAATTCAGACTCATTAAAATTCTGAGATAGCAGAATGAAAACAATTAAATGTATTTGTCAATTTGGATGGCACTTTTGCTTTTTATTATCTAAACCAGGGGTCTGCAATCTGTGGCTCTGGAGCCACATGTGGCTCTTTGGTTTCTCTGCAGCGGCTCTTTCAAGCTTTGACCAAAACTGACATAAAACTGAATTATATAAGATGTTATACCCACAACAAAAAATGACTAGTTTTAGTGGTTTTCCTGTCATTTCCTTTGCAAATATGTGGATACTAGTACTAATACACAGAGTAAATTATACTCACGTTAACTTTATACTTTATTTCATCAAAGTAAGATACTCAATTACTCCATTATAAAAAAAAAAAAAATAAGCCTGCACAGTGAATCGCGACCTTATCGTGGTGGAGGAGTTTGTGCGCCTGAATGATCCTAGGAGCTATGTTGTCGGGAGCAATTATGATTGCCCCTGGTAGGGTCTCCCAAGGCAGATTGGTCCTAGGTGACAGGCCAGACAAACAGCGATTCAGAAGATTTTTATGGACAAAACAAAACAAGGAACTCAGTGTCCCTTGCCTGGACGTGGGTTACCGGGGCCCCACCCTGGAGCCAGGACTGGGGGAGGGGCTCGTCAGCGAGCACCTGGTGACTGGGTGACATGGGGCCCGGTTGGGCTAAGCTCGAAGAAGCAGCATGGGTTTACCTTCCTGTGGACCCACCACCTGCAGGAAGGGCCATAAAAGTCAGGTGCATGACGCTATGGACAGTGGCCGAAGGCGGGGAGCTTGGTGCTCTGACCCTGGCTTACCAAAGCTGGCTCTTGGGACATGGAATGTAATCTCTTTGGCAAGGAAGGAGCCTGAGCTTGTGCGCGAGGTTGAGAAGTACAAACTAGATATTATTGGGCTCACCTCGATGTACAGCATGGCTTTGGAACCGATCTCCTTGAGAGGGGCTGGACCTTATTCCACTCTGGAGTTGCCCATGGTGAGAGGCGTCGAGCTGGTGTGGGTCTACTTGTAGCCCCCCGACTTGGTGCCTGTGTGTTGGAGTTTTCCCCAGTAAATGGAAGGATGGCTTCCCTTCACCTTTGGGTGGGAGGACGGGCTCTGACTGTTGTTTGTGCCTATGCGCCCAACTGCAGTTCAGAGTATCCAGCCTTCTTGGAGTCCTTGGCAGGGGTGCTGGAAGGTGTGCCAGCTGGGGACTCCTTTATTCTGCTGGGGGACTTCAATGCCCATGTGGGTAATGACAGTGTGACCTGGAGGGGCACAATTGGGAGGAATGGCCTCTCTGATCTGAACCTGAGCAGTTTTCTGTTGTTGGACATTTGTGCTAGTCATAGTTTGTCCGTCACGAACACCATGTTCGAACATAAGGGTGTCCATAAGTGCACTTGGCACCAGGAGGTCCTAGGTTGTAGATAGATGATTGATTTCATAGTCATGTCATCTGATTTGCAGCCTTTTGTTTTGGACACTCAGGTGAAGAGAGGAGCTGATCTGTCAACTGATCACCACCTGGTAGTGAGTTGGATCAGATGGCGGGGGAAGATGCCTGATAGACCCGGTAGACCCAAACGTATAATGAGGGTTTGCTGGGAATGCCTGGTAGAAGAACCCTTCTGAGAGATCTTCAACTCACACCTCTGGGAGAGCTTTAACCGCATCCCAGCTGAGGTGGGGGACATTGAGTCTGAGTGGGCCATGTTCCGTGTCTCGCTTGTTGAGGTAGCTGCCTTGAGCTGTGGCTGCAAGGTTGTTGGTGCTTGGTGCGGTGGCCATCCACGAACTCTGTGGTGGACACCCTGGGTTAGGGAGGCTGTCAAGTTGAAGGAGTCCTATCGGGCCTTGTTGGCCAGTGGGACTCTGGAGGCAGCTGAGGACTACCGGAGTGTAGCGGTGTGCAGCCTTGGCTGTTACTGAGGCAAAAGCTTGGATATGGGAGGAGTTCGGTGAGACCTTGGATAGAGACTCTCGGTCAGCTCCGAGGAGATTCTGGCAAACCATCAGGCAGCCGAGGAGGGGAAAGCAGCACTTTACTAACACTGTGTTCATTGAAGGTGGGGTGCTGTTGACCTCAACCAGTGATGTTGTTGGGAGGTGGTGTAGAATCTAAGAAACTTTATTAATTGGATAATCTGTTATATAATAAGGCCCAAGCAAATATGTATTTTAACTTACAACAACTGTGTTCAACAGAACTTGTTTTTAACAGATTCTGAGATGTGCTTGAAGTTGACCTGTACTTGTTTATCTTTATCTAAAAGTACCAGGAATTTCTGGGCATAAGATCAACTGCTTATATAAGAATGTGTCCCATCAGAACTGTTTTAACAACTAGAGTGTTTATGTCAAGGTGACCTAAGAAGAATTTGTTTCTCAAGTTTCGTTTCTTTTTAACAAAAAAAAAACGAAGTCCAGATGACATGATTCAACCTTTTTTGTTGTTA